AGATGTGGTCTCACTCTGTCGCCCAGGCTGGAGTGCAGTGGCATGATCTCAGCTCACTGCAACCTCTGCCTCCCAGGTTCAAGCGATCCTCCTGCCTCAGCCTCCCGAGTAGCTAGGACTACAGGCACATGACACCACGCTCAGCTAATTTTTGTATTTTTAGTACAGATGGGGTTTCACCGTATTAGCCAAGATGGTCTTGATCTCCTGACCTCATGATCCACCTGTCTCGGCCTTCCAAAGTGCTGGGATTACAGGTGTAAGCCACTGCGCCCAGCCAAGGATGTGAATTTCTATGTGGCTCTTACAGTGCTGTATTAAATTGCTCTCCCCGAAGATGGGGCTTTATTTACAAATTGCAGGAGCTTCAGCTGCATTCAGCTCCCTGAGTGCCCCCCCAGCCTGGTGAATGTCACACAGGCCAGGCGTGACCCCCACCTACTGTTGTCCAAGTACACAGGGAGCCTGGTCACTTCCAAGCAAGTGCACAGCCGCAGAGGGTCCCCAAATCCGCCCAGCCCACCCCCTTCCCCCAGGCACTCTGCTGCAGGGGCACAAGGGCAGCTAGGCCTCCTGGGGCAACCACTCCTCTTTCAGCTTCCAGGGACTACCCTGCAGCCAGCACACTGCCCAGGCAGAAGGCAACTTTCCCTCTGAAACACACCTGGCTCACTTTGCCCTGCTCCTGTGTGGGATACCTCGACACCAAGTGCTAAACAAAAATGGAGTCAGGCAGAAAATTCATCTGTTAACGTTGCATGTAACAGGGCAAGTTGGAAACATTTTAAAAGTGTGTCACTGGGGACTGGATACTAACGTGTGCTTCAGCCACACCCTGGAGGAGCTTTGAAAATGGAGCTGAGCTCTGTGCAGCAGCTTGGGATGAGTTCATGATGTGTTAGGTGACAAAGCAAGTTGCAGCAGAGTGAATTTGGTGCAATTCCATCTTTGTTTAAAAGTACAAAGGGGCTGGGTGGGGTGGTTCACGCCTGTAATCCCAACACTGTGGGAGGCCGGAGTGGGCAGATCACTTGAAGTCAGGAGTTTGAGACCAGCCTGGCCAACATGGTGAAACCCCGTCTCTACTAAAAATACAAAAATTAGTCATGTGTGGTGGTGGGCGCCTGTAATCCCAGCTCCTCAGGAGGCTGACGCAGGAAAAGCACTTGAACCCAGGAGGCAGAGGTTTTAGTAAGCTGAGATTGCATGATTGCACTCCAGCCTGGGCAACAGAGCGAGATGCTGCTGGCATGGGGGTAGGAGGGATGGTACAAAGGATTGGGGTGCAATGGCTCACCCTGTAATCCCAGCACTTTGGGAGCCTGAGGCAGAAGGATCATTTGAACCTAGGAGTTCAAGACCAGTCTGGGTAACATAGCAAGACCCCATCTCTACAAAAAATTAAAATACTTTTAAAAGGTATAAGTGGCCACCCATGTGTGTCCACACTTCAGAACATCCTGGAAAGATAAACCAAACGATTAGAAGTGATTTCCGGAGTATGGGATTTCAGGAGACAAATGGGTAAAGTGAGGACTTCAGTTTTCTTACTTTGCTGCTTTTTTACTTTATTACCGTGTTGTTTAGATTCTTTAGAATAAGAGTGTTTTCATTTTGAAAACATGCGGAAAAGGTTTTTTAGAAACTTGTCTAAAAGAGAAGATAACCCTCAACATCTGACTTTCTGTGTGTTTTCCAAGAGCCCACTGTGAGGTCAGAGGTCCAGGCAGGGCCTCGGGGATTTCACTTGAGGGGTCGCTGCCACCCTGACTTCCTCTCCCACAGCAAATAAGACCACTCGGAGCTTGGGGGTTTGGGTTTGTCGCTTGCTGCTGCCCTGCCGAGGGCTCCACCGGACTGAGACAGCAGGACCCCAGCTCATCTCTGCTCCTCTCTCTAGGACCAGCTGCCTCTGTAAGTACAGTTTTTTGGATAACAACAAGAAGTTGACTCCTCGACGTGATGTTCCCACTTACCCCAAGGTAAGGTGAGATTCCAGCCCAGAAGTGGCTCTGGCAGGGTCTGGCCCTGCGGCCCGGCGTGCTGTGTGCGCACCCCCATAAACAGCCCCTCCCGGCCCCAGGCTGCGGACGGTCAGGGTTACTCTGAGGCAAAGTATTTTTTCTCTGACATTTGTTTAGCAAAAGTGATCCCAGAGCATACCTTCCCCTGAAAGGCGGTAATAGCTCTGTGCTGCTGTCCGCCCGGCCCTGGAGCTGCCCTTGGTAGTTTTCACACTCAAACATTAAAGAACTTTAATGTTTAAATTCTTAAAAATTTAATTAAAACATTTTTTTGGATCCACTCCTTTAGCCCTGGTCCCTGAGCAATCCTTAGTTGTCCTGACAAGTTTTGCTGTTTTGCACAAGTGTTCTTAGTTATTAGAGAAGCTGTGACCTTGGTGAGGTAGCAATGGCATTTTTTAAATAATGACAAAAGGAGGGTCTCAAGATGCTGTCACCCTCTCAACGCCTTCAGCTAGGAAGCAGGCAAAAATCCCAGCCCAGTTCGTTTTTAATGTGTTCTTGTGCTAAGATTCAGGGGGCACGGTTTCCACAGACGCAGAGGCCTGGGCGGCACACGGTGGGTTCTGCGGCCGCCTGCCATTCAGGCAGTGACAGCCTTCCAGAGCCTCCATGTGGGCCGCTGGTGTCCGTTAGTCAGCGACTCTGTCCACACAGTTCCAAACAGTGCCCTGGATGTTGTCAGGTTTTGGGGTTGGGTAATTTTTGTTGTTTTTTTTGGGGGGGGTTGGGTATTTTTTGTTGTTTTTTTGAGACGAAGCCTCACTCTGTCGCCCAGGCTGGAGTGCAGTGGCACGATCTCGGCTCACTGCAACCTCTGCCTCTCGGGTTCAAGTGATTCTCCTGTTTCAGCCTCCTCAGCAGCTGGGATTACAGGCTCACACCACCATGCCCGGCTAATTATTGTATTTTTAGTAGAGACGAAGTTTCACCACGTTGGCCAGGCTGGTCTCAAACTCATGACCTCAGTTGATCTACCCGCCTCAGCCTCCCAAAGTGCTGGGAGTGCAGGCGTGAGCCACTGCGCCCGGCCTTATCTGAGGTTTTTGAATGGAGTTTAGTCCTTTTTCCATTGGAAAATATGCCCCACGCTTCTTATGATCCTGCCCCAGGGAGTCGTGAAGCACACCTAGATCCAAAATCAAAGGTGTCAGCCCTCTGGATCTGTTCCCTTATAAAAAACAAAACACAAATATCCCGTAAGACCCAGGAGAAGACAAGGAATGTGTAATGCCCAAGCAGTGTTCTTGTTTTCTGTCTAAAGCCACAGCCTCTGTCCTGTGACAGCTTAACCTAAAGGCTGATGTCCTTAGGAGCAGCCCCAGGGCACCATCCGGGTCAGCAGGCCTGCTCTTCAAGCTCTCAGCAGAAACCAGGGATGGGTTCTGGACAGGAGCATCTCAGAATAACTTCTTAGATGGTATTTGAATTTATGCGAAGTGAATCCCCACCCACCACCACTTCACTTTATTGTCCTTTTTTTTTTTTTTTTTTTT